AAGGTATAAGTCTATACGATATAAGATACACATTTAATTTTCACTGTTGACTGTTAGCATAGCAACGAACATCAGCAGAATTTCATTGGTTCGTGGAAGTGGAATATCAATTTTGATGTTTGTAGTACAAATATCGCAATTTGGGATTATATCGCGAATTAAAATGGCTTTGGTATGTAATTATCAATTTACAATTCCGCTAGCCTCTTCGGAGATGTAATAGCAATAACTATCGAAAACAAAAGGTGTTTCGCAAGGCACTTGGTTATTTCGTGTGGTATCTGAATTTGTTTATTTGTTACGCTGGACCAGCTTCCAATATTTGGATTAAGCTATGAATACGGTAGATGCAGAAATTATTCATATATCAGTAAATCTATTAAAAAGATAAAATTATTCTTGTAACAGGCCGTGAAGGTCCTAGGTTGTGAGAGGTTCAGGTTCCCGCATCTTCTAGACAATCGGTTCACAGAAGGCGGTAAGGTTGTCAGCCTTAGGCGCCGGCCGCCTTTTATCCCACAGGAATATTCCTATACTCATTTATGTTAGAAGCTGAGTCGACCCCAAGGTCATAGTGCGGCTCGAAGGATTAGGTCAATTGAAAAAAGAAATTCCACCTCATCGGGACTCGAATCCACGACCTTCCGCCTTGTAGCAAAATGCCTCAACCAACTACGCTGCCACCTGCCCCATCAGTAAATCTATTAGTCGAATAAATATCTGATAACCTACACACATTTTGTTCAATCGTCTGTTTTTTTCTGAAGAAAAAACCACGAAAGAAAAATGTATCCCCTCTCAAAGCATCAAGCCAAATTATGCTATACAAAAATCTGACTGACAGCTTCCTTGTCTATACTGTAAATATGTAACATTTTAAATATTTTGTGAACAAGGCTGTAGAGTGCGTAGGATATTAACGAGGACACAAACACAATTTTATACAGTTCATCTCAGTATAAGGAGCAAAACGTTGCGACAAGGAGCTTAAATTGAGTCGTGACAGCATTTTAAGGGGTGTTTTCGGGAAGTTTCTCCGATGCTGGAGGATGAGCCGTACACCCGTGATATTTCATACGAGTTAAGGAAAGGGAAGGGAGAGTTCCTCTTCATGAGAGCTCCCTTGACGTCGCTCAGGGTCTTCTGTCTCTCTCGGATGTGAAGATGGACCAAAAAATCCAGACCAAAAAGCAGTAAGATAGGAAACGTTGCACAGAGGAACTCTAAGTGACGGAAATTATTGGGTAGAATAGGCGGTTCCGAGCCGGTCACGGTAGCTGAGCGGTCTAAGGCATGTTACTGTCTTCGCTCGCTTGAAAACCCGGGGTCTTGGGTTCGAATCCCACTCAGGGCATGGATGTTTAGTTTGTGTGTGTGCGTTTTTCTGTGTTTGTGTCCAGGTAGAGGCCTTGCGACGAGCTGATCACCCGCCCAAGGAGTCCTACCGTATGTGTAAGATCTAGAAAAACAGAAGTGAAGGGAGAAGTTCATGGAGGTAGGCCTAGGCCCACTGGGGCTGTAGTGCCAAGGGAAAAAAAAACAGGCGGTTCGGAACAAACGGTAATGGAAATAGCCAACTGTAAGTTTTTTTTGTTACTTCCATGTACAAAGAGACGATAAACAGAAGTGATGATAAATTTTCTGGCATTCCGAAATTTGAGAGACGTTAACAAGAAGCAATCAAGTTCAAGGAAGCGACGTCTGTGAGAGCGCAGGCGCAGCTGAAGATCTTGGGCCCATCTTACATGGTACCTCACCCCTCAATCCACACGACGCCAACTTAAATACACAAGAGCCGCTCACAATTCCGGTATAAGAAATTTAAACTGGAAAAATTCAAAAGCTACAATTATATCGCAATACAAAGCGGTTTGATTAATATTATTGGGTACATTGTTTTATTGCAGGGAGAGACGGCAGGTATGTAGATATTGCTATTACAAATTTGTACAGCTATACTGACCTAATCTTTCCAGCCGCTCTATGGCCCTGGGGTCGACTCAGCCTCTAACAGAAATGAGTACCAGGAATCTTCCTGAAGGGAAAGGAAGACCGGTGTGTAAGGCTGACAACCTCACAGCCATCTGTGAGTCGATTGTCTAGAAAACGTGGGAGCCTTGACGTCTCACAACACTATGGGTCTCAACGGCCTGTCACAGGGAAGCTTTATTTTTATCATCATCATCATCATCATCATCATCATCAGTAATCTGTCAAGACGACAGGTCCACAGTCTCTTCCAAAACAGTTCCTCCACTTGATGCGATCTAGAGTTTCTCCTTCAAATGAAAATATCCTCTTCTGTCCCCAAGGTCATCCAGCATCTTCTTACGTCTTCTTCCTCATCTTCTTGTCACTTCTATCCGCACCTCTATCTTTCCTTCAATAACTTCTTTTAGAAGGCAGGTTCTGCGTAAAACATTTGGTCATTTATTTTTATATGAAATAGAAAAAAAAGTCTCACCATTAACAATATATGCAATAAAATTTGTCTTTTTCCTGAAGGCAAAATGGATAGGGGCTCAACAGACACGACACAGGCATTCTTACTGCGCCACTCTGTCTCAGTTTCTCACAGCAGGCCCGGCTAAACATGGAACGCAGCTGCTTATGTCATGTTAAAGCAATTCTAACATTATGTAAATATACTTCGTCGTGAGATTCGAGGTTCTCGGGAAAGCGATGATAAAGAGTTATTATATTCAGGAAAGTGGCGCCATGTAGTCTGGTAGAAGCCCACTGGCTATTCGGAAGAACGTAATACCTCCATCTTCAGGGTCGAAGACTAAGCCTCTAAGACTCTACTTGCTGTTCACTTGCTTCTATTATTTGGAGATTTTGTAGATCACTGACTTCTGAGATGTGCCGACGTGTAGTTTGGTAGACGGTTACCAACGTTTGGAGCAACGAGCTGCTTCTAAATGAAGACAGCCTCAATTGTTAGATATTGCATTTATCTGTCACAGATCAGGGCATTCTAAAATATTACCGCCATCTTTGAGCCGATTGTCTAGATAATGTGGTACCCTCAACGTCTCACAACCCTATGGGCCTCCACGGCCTGTTATAGGGATAGCTTTACTTTACTTCACTTTCTTGTGTAACGATCTGGGCCTTCCTGATTTGAAAAGAAGGCCTAAAATGATAGAAATAGTGTGAATTCAGGTAATATCGCAGGGTATTTAAAACCATTCTTCCAATCTAACAGAATGACACAGGATCTTTCTTAAAAATGTAATAGTTTTGTGCCCTGGTCAGGAAATCTCTCGCGTTTATGGAACCGGAAGTACATTACTGTTCTTACACGATCCCGTCATAAGCTCACATTTAGGGTCAATATTACCTAGTTTTTATCTTCACAACTTACTTGTTTAAGTCCGTCTTAATATTATTCTCTCATCTACGACTATGTATCCAAAGTGGTATCGTCCTTTCTGAATTTTTGGTTCAATTTTATAAATGCATTTCTAATTTCCCTTTCATATCCTATTATCTGCCGGTCACGGTAGCCGAGCGGTCTAAGGCATGCACTGTCTTCGCTCGCTCGGAAGCCGGGATCATGGGTTCGGATCTGTTTCCTGTGAGGTACGAACTGAATTCTTATATATTATTCTTATACACTGCCGGTCACGGTAGCCGAGCGGTTTAAGGCATGCACTGTCTTCGCTCGCTCGGAAACCGAGATCATGAGTTCGAATCCCACTCAGGGCATGGATGTTTGTGTGCGTTTTTCTGTGTTTGTCTACAGGTAGAGGCCTTGCGACGAGCTGATCACTCGCCCAAGGAGTCCTACCGAATGTGTAAGATCTAGTAAACCGAAGTGAAACGGAGAGTTTCATGGAGGTAGGCCTAGGCCCAAACTGGGGCTGTAGTGCCAAGGGGGAAAAAAAAATATATCTATCCAATCCGTCACATCTTTCTTGATTTAACCACCCGAAAAAATATTACGTAAAATAAAAATTATGAAGCTCCTGGTCGTGTAATTTTCGCTATAATCCTAGTACTTCCATCTTATTAGGTCCAAATATTCCCTCAGTATGGAAAGTATTCATTGCATTGATAAAGAGATTGCCTATTTTATCTCAATATTTGCACTTATATCCATTTCTACTAATGTTCTGCTAATACTGCTGGCCCAGTAAGGATATTTACTCTATAGTTAGAGCAACAAATAAGACATTATTTATCTTAAATATTTCCTTACAACTTATATATAACCATAAAATCTGCAAAGACTGCCACTTAAAGACATAAGCCCAAGCAACATAAAATGAAACTAACTCAACATAAATACTGTCACGTGATAGAGTGTGACTACAGAAGGGTTTGAATTGATAATCGGATTTACTGAGCATTTATAACACGTAAACTACCACAGTCTCACTGAGTTACACACTCCAAAGATCAATGTAACCACAGCATACGTAAAGTGTTCTCAGTTTTCCTTATCCGTTGCTCGGTGGCGGCTTCCAATGGCAGACGTTTCCCTTTCTCTGGGTTCCGGAACTCTCCTCGGCCTCGGCTACCAGCTTCTAACTACAATAGCTCACAGCGACTGAACTGCAGCAATCCTCAAACTTTTTGCTGATTGACTCACACAACTCAACTAACTCTCTCTGTCCTGCTTATAACATCACGTCACGGACCGCATATAAAACAACGTTCCTCATTGTTGTTCAACTGTTGCCGTGGAAACACGCTTGTTTGCGAAGCCGTTAGTTAGTAACAGTTGTATATTTGCTTATCTTGCTGTCGTTGCCCAGCAACGGGTTTATATGCCACAAAATGTCCAGATTTAACTCGCTGTTTATAGACAATCCCAAACATATAAGATTGAAACGTAAATAAAACATTATATTGTCCTGAAAATATATTTAAAAAAACGTGACAGATATTACACTCTTGCTCTGAAAGGGGCCTTGGGCATGGACATAGATGTAGGAGATCAGGTGAACTAACCTGTCCACATCCTCTTTGCAAAGGGCACTAACATCCCTGTCTATGTTTAACTATAAATACTGGGCCCGAACAATACAGTTCAAACAATAACACTTGCGCACTAGAACCTGCAACATCAGTCAACACACACTTCAAAATGAAGTTCTTCGTAAGTATTTGAACAAATTCATGAGACTTCCGGCTTGCATGGCGATGAGTGTTTACTGCTGAGTGCAATATATTATTTTGAGTCATTAATCCAGGAAATAAGTAATAAACTGACCAATATTTATTCATATGAGAATTATAATGAAAATTACCTACGAAAAATTTAAATGGGCGGTTAGAAACTGGGTTTTTGTGTTAAACACCGGATACCTCATACTCGGTTTGTGGGGGACGAAACTGCAATGGATCCGGATTTTTTCTGAGTTTCTCCTATTATTTTCTGCAAATTGTGTATCCATCATTGCTCCAGACTCGTCTATCACCAAACCCTGAGCGATAGGCCTCACCAGGTGTCATATCATCACAGCTCGGTCTTTAAGTTGGGAACTCTTACTCTGACCCGGTACTTGACTGGTTAGAGGCTAAGAACTTTTTATCTTACTGTATCAACATAACAATTCTGTCATGTATTAATTCTAAAAAATATCAATATGTTATAAAATTAAATCAGAAAGCTAACCGTGACTAAGGGTAAAACAAATTTAAACCATATTTCGCTATAATTCTCAACAAAAAAGGTAAAGTTGTCCTTATGCTTAACTAATTAAGCACTACGTCATGAAGGATTATGGGGGAGTGGATGTGTAGAGCCACATTTTCTCGACTTCGGTACCAGTTGGAGGTGAGTAGATAGCTTCAAGCCCTGGCCGACTTACTCCCGGGGAAAGAACTCCAGGTACTCACTGGATAAAAGACTGAGTGGGTCCCAGATTCGGTCTGGACGATGTGGACTCGAACTCCGACGCCTACATCGCTCAGGACCTAGCCAGTCGCTATACCGACTACGCTATTCTATTAAAAACTGTCAAACTCTATAAAACTATCGGAAGATTTCAAATAATTTCTCCTGCATCACACCAACTATGACTGAATTGTTCCACCGATACATAATGCCCATTAACAATTATCGTAACCACACTTATTCATGACCATCAAGGAGTAAATCTGATTCAGATAACGCATGATTCTCCCATCTCTGTCTATCACGTTCTGAAATAGTCTACCCCTTGTCTTATATCGACAGAACAGTACTTGAATTGAAATTTCAGGCGTTACTCTAAATGCTCCAACACTTATTTCGACACCTCACACTTATTATTTTATTAACATACGTTATTCTCACTTATTCTCTAACATCTTCATTATATTTGTAAACTATCATTTTGTATCTGGAGACCACTGTGTGGAAAAAAACATTTCTGCTTACACCACTCTCCATCATTCCTGCGTTAACATCCAACATACGGATCCATCAGATATACTGATACCGTTTTTACTAAACATCATTAATAATATCTGAAAACGCAGACTGATAACAAGACAACTACACAGGCAGTGTGAAGAACCTACAGTCAGAGGGGCATACTTAACGAAACTGATAACAATACATCAACATCCTTGAGAACTACACAATAACACGCATAAGACTCAGTCCAAGGGGAATGCTGCGCAAAAAATACTCGTACAATATATGAGACCTCAAACAAATATCGTTCAAAAGACTGGACGAAGACCACAAGGATAACATGGGATATTAATTAATTTGAATGAAGATAAATTAGTTTTAATCAAGAAATATCGCGTTCACATGAGATGTGATACTTTGACAACAATTTTATCGAGATAAAAGACACCTGATGATGGTTGCATATGGCCGAAACATGTTGTGTGGAAGAAGGTTGATTAATAATAAGTTGTACTGGAGAAGGAAAATATTATATGAAATAAATTACATTAAGGTAACAGAATGCTTAAATACAATATTATAAATATAACTAAACTTCGCGTTTTTATTTCCTTATTCTTTTAAACGCCAACGTCTAGTTATAATAGATGAATGTTCTTTTTTATTGCTAGTGGGGGTGGGACTAAGTCCCTTGTACTGCGGCCACGCCTGGCCTATTGTACCAGCCCCAGATGATAGGTGAGGGTGATTGTGGAGCAATTGGTGGAATGAAAATTGGCAGGGGAAACCCAGCGCCACTTTGTCCACCACAAATCCCACTTGACCACACCCGGGAAGGAACCCGGGCCGTCGTGGTGGGAAGCCAGCGACTAACCGCTTGAGCTATGGCGCGGTCTGACAATACGAGTAGATGAAAATATACTGCTACAAGCCAGCTTTATTGTGCTTCTTCTTTTCCAGGGTATTGCTCTGATTGTCCTCTTCGCCATCGTGGCTTGCTATGCCGCTGAGGCTCCCAAGGAAGCCCTGAAGGGCTCCGAGGCTGTTTACTTGGCATCCCCCTACGCCTACGCCGCCCCCGCTGCTGTTTACCCCTATGGATACTACTACCGCTAAATTAGTTCCCTGCCCGACAGCATTTACTATGACAACCTCACGGGCTACAGACAACAGCTTCAATCTTTGTGGAACTTCGACTGCAAATCTGACTACATGCAAGTCTCTTTGACTTACATTCTTTCTATGATGTTTTGGCACATGTACACTCTCAAGTATACTATTAAAATATGAAAATATAAAAAGGTTTATTCTAATTTCCTTCACGTTTCCATCTACTTGCTACTTTTTCGTCTGTGGACTAGGTTTGGATCCAAATTCAAACTCTTTTTATCTAGTGTAAACTATAAGAGATCTGAGAATTTATATCTCAGTCTTCCAGTTTATGACATCGTGTGGTCTGGTAGGATCCGAAGGGATATACTGCCTCTATTTTATGTCCGAAAGTGAACGTAATATTGTTACGTGTTGGGGTGTGACTCCAGTCCACCCATTTCTGACACCAGTTGTCACGTTGACACTCATACACACGACTCGGAACTAAAAACAATTACAGCTCCAGAGCTGATCTCCACAATTCACAAATCATCATTAACACCCACTAAGTCTGTTGTCTTTACCAGCCAATCCCTGAGAGTTTCTAACAGTGGAAGTTCTTCAGCTTCACGCGCTCAGGTTCTCTCTTCACAGCCTTCCTTGCAGAACTGAAAACTCCACCAACTCTGCCCTTACTTATAACATCTCGACACGGACCACATAGAAAACACAGCTCTTCTACTGTTACGTCTAAGTGTTGCATTATTAACAATCTGCTGCCTAGCAACGGGAACGTGTTTACCGAGCTGTTGCCAATAAACGGTCGCTGTTTACAGAGTCACTGCTTAGCAATGGGTCTGTGCGCCCCCGTAGGTTATTCTGAAAGACTGGTAACCATACAGCACATTTCCTGTGGTTCATTTACTGACGCTGTCAGCATACTGACTACACAGCATCAAATGGTAGGATTATTGATGAATGATAAATTGGGAAGGATCTGGCAGGACGAGGCGTTGGAGTGATTGAGATACTGCTTTGCTGTATAACCGGAAGGACCGATGAAATACAAACTGAACCTCAGCCTTAATAACCGGTATCCTGGCCCAGTTTTGAACCAGGCACCTCCTAGTATAAGTCTAAAGGCTTAGAATTACTCCAACTTGTTCAATTATTTAATTCTGTGTGTCATTTCGACTAATATATTTCCAATGTGTCAAATCTGTTGAATATAAATAGGAAATCTGGAATCGTCATGATGTCTAATTTATAACAAGAACTAGGTTTCACATGGGACTTGGCATTTGCTTGTTTATTTAAGGATGCTGTCAGTAGTTCAGACTACAGACCATACAATGCTGAATAGCAAGATTAGTGAGTAGCGAATCGGAAAGAATGTCGAACTAAGCGTCCGTTGCTAATTTAACGTAAAATTCCTGAATTTCCCTGCATCGGCTACGGAAAACGAAGAAAAAAGTCAGTCAGGATAGTCACTGCCCGGGCCGGTATGGGGCGCGAGTACCAGACGCGTTACCACTTGCTCGGTATACACAGATACAGAAGACTGGAACGTCGGTATTACGAAACGTGAATATGGACTCTCATTCAGACAGTGTCTGACAGACCTTACGTGTCTGTATCCTCCGCTCGTCAGATATTCAAGTCGACAAGTCTCTGGTAGCCATGACGAAGCATAGGATTGCAGAAAGAATTTCCTGTCGTCCCAGTACTAGAAGTTTAGACTACTGATTATGTTACTTCAGCACAAGGTCGGCACAATTTGTTACAAAAAGTACGAGTAAATTCACTTCGCTGAATTTCTGTCTCATTTATTGTTCCCTCTTACACATAGATTTAAACCGTTCAGCAAGAACATACATTTGCCTCAGCTGATGTACTCACAGATTCTAAAGGGTTCTGACGATGGTGGATGATATACAGAATTACTGGGTTTTTAACTTTTTGCATCGTCCGGAATTCTAGGTAATAGAGGACACTACGTTTCGGAATCTGGATCTGTTTCTGTCTTCAGGTGAGAAAGGAAGACACATACTCAGTTGGACCCCTTAGAAAGAGCTGAGTAGGTGTCTTCCTTTCTCACCTGAAGACGGAAACAGATCCAGTTTCCGAAACGTCGTGTCCTCTATTACCTAGAGTGTCCTCTATTACATACAATTCCGGACGATGAAAAAAGTCCAAAAAAAAAACCAGCATATCTGTGATGTACTATGTTATAATAACAGACTAAGTCGAAATCTGATAATGAAGCTGCCTGCTGAAATTCATGTCTTATGTTTCTTAACAAATAATAACAATAATAATATTTTTATGTCCTTATGAAAAGATCAATTTATCATGGATATTTTTGCCTACATCTTTATGTGTGGGACACAGGAACTAAGCAAAATATGTACTGACCTACTAACCGTTTCCTTTCCTGCACCCCCGAAGCGTTTTACATTTTAAATGACGAAAACGTAACGTCAAAAAATGGTGGTACATAGCGTACTGCAAGAGACAACTGCCCTACAGGAAGAATATCTGGAACACCTCAAATGAAATGGAGAGAGAACAGACCCATGACTTGAAAAGATGAGAATAAAAAAAGAAAGGCATAAAATAGCTTCTTTAGAGGAAAAGGAATAAGAAAAACTACATTTTAAAAGATCTCAACCATAAATTCCTATTTTATATTGGTAGGAAGAATTATCTACCCTCAATGGGTAATTAATTTCATTATATCTCCCATCGTAACACTCACAAAGCGTACCCCTTGTATAAGGGGTTTAGAGAACGTATCGTACTGGTACGGACCCGATGTCGTAAAGAATTGTTCAGTTTGATGAAATTCTCAAAGTTCTTAAAATCTGAATTTCAGCAACGAAAGTACATTTCGACTTGATATCATCACATCCCCAAAATACACATTTCAGTTGAAATATAATAAACGCTTTCGGTAACAGAAATGAGAGGACAGACAGACTCCATCTTTGTGCCAAGAGTCACGAAAATGTAGGAACCTTCCTGATGTCACATTAATAAACTTAATTACTGAAATCAGGGACACGTTCCGCGTTGTAGTAGCGCTGCCGACGAACCAAAATAAGCTGCGGTAAGTTGTAGTCTTCTGAGAATAGACTAAGTCCATGTCTCAAATTTCCGGAAAATTAAAATGTTAACAGCACATTATTTCCCAAGTACCGGTTTCGAAGCCTCGTTTCCTTTATTTCTATACGTAATCACCTCCACACCCAAGACTTGTTATATTTGCTTCATCATAATGTTAATTCCAGTAGTTTATATTCATGGTAGAAATCAATAAATATTCCAAAGAAAAACTGGTCTTGCTGGTAACTACAAGGACGCTCTTAAAATATAAATTTAACCTTATTATTTAAAGAGTTTCTCATAAAAATTGGCCAATAACAAATACACTGATTATTCTAGTAGATTTGTCTTTATAACACGCCTTGTTATTCGCAATAATAATTTATTAAACTGATTTATTATTTCATATGGGAAGTTAAGTTTATAGTTCACGATAATCCTGCGCGTCAGGCAGAAGTTAACTCCTTCCGGTTTTATGAAGAATGAAAAAGGACCACAACGAAAGAAATGTTATATTTTCTTTTGCATTTTACTTTTTATTTCTTCCTCGCCTATTTCGCTAAATTTCATTCCCTGAGTATAAAACAGGCTTATGAGATCTCTATGCAGTCTGTGTCTCCATCTTCAACTTTTGAACCAGAAAACGATTTTCAGGAAAGTTGGTATAATTACTGTGCCCTCACAGGTCATCACCACGTCATAGTTTTCAATCTCTTACAACTACTAACAAAAGTATGGACGTGAGAAAGTTTGAGATGTGAAAGAAATTAGCACCATATAATTCTGATCTGGTTCTTAAATGATGTAGTCCTATGATAACAGATCTTCGAAAATGCGCAAATTACGTCACGGTGACATTTCTGTAGGATGTAAAATAATAGCATGGTGGCCAGATCATGTATGAAATATTGTTTGTAAGTCAACGTTACAAACACTGCGACTGTGTGAGTCTAAGATATTAAATCCTACAAAAGAAAGGCAGGGATATCTAGTATGTGGGTAATATGTTCATCACAAAGATAAAATAAAATAAAATAGTCATGACAGATCCTCAGAACTAGGAATCTAGGCAAGACGAAAGTAGGCTTTACAGGTTCTGCTCGGAATGCCTTGTTCTTTATATCTCTCTTTTATAGTTCCCTGTTCCAATGTTTAATTCATTTATCAGCTCTTTTTTTTTTCATCCTATATCCCTCTTCCCTTTCGATGTTTTATCTCTGTATCATTCATTTTGCTTTATTCCTTTCTCTTTTATTTTCCTCTCTACTTTTTCTCATTTTTGTTTGCTTTCCTTCCTGTAACATTCTTAAATTTCTTTATTTCATCTTCCTTACTTCCATTCGTACGGGAAGTTCTACACAAGAATACTATTATCTTCCGAGAATATGGCTCCGTGTAGTCCGGTAGAATTTGACAGACGTTTCGGAGGAACATACTGCCTCCTCAGGGTCAAAGTATAAGTCACGCTTCTTGCTACTTACTTGCTTGACTTGCTCTTCGGCCCTGAATATGAAGGTGCATGCGCCTCCAAAACGTCGTTAAGCTTCTACCGGACTACACCACGCTCTACACTTCATATTCAGCGCTGAGGGAACCTGAAATCCAGCATGCTCAGAGTTTAACCTTGTAGAATATTCATATCTTCTGTCCACGGTCACAGTTCGTCATGAACGCATTTAAAGCAAAATAATAAACCATTATGAAATGACAGTCTTTCGTTACAGGGTTGGGCCCATTAGTCAGCAACATCCCACCGATAACAAGATCTAATTAGAACAATTTCAACTGTAGTTGTCTTATTACGCTATTCAGCAATAGTAATGGAGCTATTTAAATATATTACGTGTTGTAGGGTCGATCCGACACTGGTAATAATTCTTGTGCTTTGTGACAAGGTTAACCACTTGTTATTCATGACAGGAGAATACTTCCGTGCTTCGACAACCGACGCAAGTTCACGGCTGGCGATACATCCCTTCTCTCTCTGTATTTCCTAGAATTACACATCCAATAAGCACACAGCGAAGTGCCTAAGGCATCTGCCTTCATTCCTTTGTACTCCAGCGTCTTCTCCATGTACTCGTATATGTATGATAAACGTTGAAGTTGTCCCTGTGCTTATCTAATTACGCACCGCGCCATGAAGACGTATGGGGGAGCGGATGTATAGATCCACATTTTCTTGACCTCGGCACTAGTTGGAGGTGAGTGGTCAGCTTCACGCCCCTACCGCTTTACCCCCGGTACCCATTGGATTGGAGGTTGGATGGACCCCAGAGCTGCTCTGGATGACATGGAGAAGAGAAAATTCTGATCCTACCAGAACTCGAACTCCGACACCTCGGTCGTCCAGCCCGCAGCCAGTCGTTTTACCGACTGCGCTACCCCGGCTCACCTGCGTTTGTATGGATGGCTTAAAATTTGGGCTCACAAACACAGGGTTCTGGAATATGACATATTAATACGATTCAATCGTATAAACCTTTAAGAGGACGATACCTTGTTAGGTATACCGGCTTTGGGGGGGGGGTATATTTCTACGCAAATTAATTCAAAATCGTATTTTAAAACACGATGACAAAACAGGAAATGAGGTACCATTTACTCTTCGTAATATGCACCTAACTCCAAACAGCAGAACCTTCTCAATAAGCTAGCATGAAAATCCATGCCTTTTGTGGAATCCAAAATTTACTATATGTTCACAACAGGCGAAAGCGGAAATGCTGAAGCGCAGTGGAACAATATAAAAGAATGCCTGTTATATACTATCAGTGATTTGGTTGGTAAACTTGAGACGATAGCAAGAAAACCATGGGTTACACAGGAGATGATGAGTAAAATGGAGGAGCGAAGGAAATGGAAGAATGTCAACAATGAAGAAGCAGGAGGAAATACAGGAGCCTGAGGAATGAATTGAAAAGAGCCACGGACAGGGCCAAAAAGGAATATCTTGAGAAGATATGTAATGAGATTATAGAATTTCAAAGAACAGGACGTTATGATTTGATGTACATGAAGACAAAAGAACTAGGATGGAAAGAGAATCATGGGATTCAAAATGTTGGCATCGAAGACTCCCAGGGGAATAGAATAGTAGATCAGAGAAAAGTGCTGAAAATTTGGGAAAATTATATTACAGAACTATATGATCGACCTAATCGGCCAGAAACCTTAGAAGTTGAACCGGAAGAAGAAGTAGATACAGAAGCGAAAGGACCATATATTTTACAAAGTGAGGTGGAAAAAGCTATCAAGGAAATGAGGAAGGGAAAGGCTACAGGAGATGATGATGTACCTGGAGATGTGCTCAAGTTACTGGGAGAAGGTGGTTTGAAAACACTGACAAAACTAATGAACACCATATATGAAAGTGGAGAGTGGCCCAAGGACTTTACAGAAGTTACAATGATTGCCTTAAAGAAAAAGACAAAAGCTACAAAATGCAGCGACCATCGCACAATAAGTCTTATTGCACATACAGCAAAGATAATAGCAAAGATACTTAAAAGAAGAATTGAAAGGAAAATAGAGGATGTACTTGGAGAAGATCAGTTTGGATTTAGAAGAGGAAAAGGAACCAGGGATGCAATTGGGATGATGAGAATTATAGCGGAACGAACTTTGGAGATAGATGAAGAACTGTGTGTTTGCTTCATAGACTGGCAGAAGGCATTTGACCGGGTAAACTGGACCAAATTAATGCAGATCCTGAAAGAAACAGGTATCGATTGGCATGAAAGAAGATTGATTAGCAAATTGTACATGGATCAGAAAGTTAGAGTACGACTGGACAGGGGGGAGACAGGAAGTGTGCAGATTGGAAGAGGAGTTCGACAAGGATGCTGTTTATCACCAATTCTGTTCAACTTGTACAGCGAATGCCTTACCAAGGAAGCTCTGGATGGGCTCGGTGACTTCAAAGTAGGAGGGCAAATTATTCAAACTGTGAAATATGCAGATGACCTTGTGTTAATGGCTAAGGAAGAAACTGTGCTACAGGGCATGATTGATAGACTAATTGAAATTGGAAGGTGCTATGGCATGGAAATGAATGTGGAGAAAACAAAAGTAATGAAAATTTCGAGACAACCAACCCCAGTCACAATAAAGATAGACCAAAAACAAGTGGAGAATGTGAAATGTTTTAAATATTTGGGTAGCTTGTTAACAGATGATGGAAGGTGTACTTGTGAAATTAAATCCAGGATTGCCATGGCAAAAGCTGCATTTAGCAAGAAGAAGAATCTTTTTACCAGCAAATTGGACTTAAATTTGAGGAAGAAACTAGTGAAATGCTACATTTGGAGCATAGCTCTGTATGGGGCTGAAACATGGACACTTAGGGCAGTAGATCAGAAACATCTGGAAAGTTTCGAAATGTGGTGTTGGAGAAGAATGGAGAAGATCAGTTGGACCGATTATGTGAGAAATGAAGAAGTGTTAATTAGAGTCAGTGAGCAGAGGAATATCCTACATGAAATAAGAAAACGGAAGGCTAATTGGATTGGTCATGTTTTACGCAGAAACTGCCTTCTAAAAGAAGCTATCGAAGGAAAGATAGATGGGCGGATAGAAGTGACAAGAAGACGAGGAAGAAGACGTAAGAAGATGCTGGATGACCTTGGGGACAGAAGAGGATACTGTCATTTGAAGGAGAAAGCTCTAGATCGCATTAAGTGGAGGAATTGTTTTGAAAGAGACTGTGGACCTGTCGTCTTGACAGATTAATGATGATGATGATGATGATGATGATGTTCACAACAGCATTCAGAAGACAAAAAAAAAGCACATAAATATTTCGATACTTAAGTCCAATGTGTGCGACGTGGGGGCACGCGGTAGTGTAGTTGGTTAAGGCACTATGCTACAAGNGTCGCGGGTCCGAGTACAGATTAGGTGGATTTTTTTTTTCCCAATTTACCTAATCCTTCTGGCCGTACTATGGCCCTGGGGTCGACTCAGCCTCTAACAGAAATGAGTACCAGGAATATTCTTGGGGGTAAAGGGCGGCCGGCGCGTAAGGCTGACAATCTCACCGCCATCTTTGAGCCGATTGTCTAGATAATGTGAGACCCTCAACGTCTCACAACCCTATAGGCTTTCACGGCCTGGTACAGGGATAGCTTTACTTTACTTACTGCATGTTACATACCTAAAATTCATTCTAGTTGCCTACCGATATCTTCGTCTTTATCTAAAATCTGTCTATAAACCTATAAAATGCAATTTAAATGCAAACCGCGTGGCCTGCTGGAACTGTCATCTTAAGAGCCAGCGTCAATAAAAAGAGAGAAGGAATGAGAGGTAGAGACAGAGATAATTTCCCCAATCACTTATTGCAATGCAAAAACGAAAGCTTCGCCTGGAAAAACAGTGTTAAAAATGTATTCACAGTGAAGGACAACGTTGTTAAGTAAATCGTGCACGGAAATGTAAGATTACGTATATCGACAGGAACATTTGCAATGAAATGTCTGTGTTCGTAGTAGCCGGGGTGGGGGGAGGTGGTGTTGGCGAATGCCGGTATAAATGTGAGGATGATTCCTCTTGTCAGCTACTGATCATCGGCAGAGTTCTGGAATCCACCGAGCTATCAACCAGCAACTGCCATCACTATGAAGTTCGTTGTAAGTACAAGAATGTTTACTAACTGTACAGGCACAAACACGGGGTAGGCACAGAATTTGCTTTAACTCTGTACAATTTTATCACAGGTACAAATACGGACATGCGTATAACGAGAATTTAGCCTTATGCCAGTAGCGAATAAATAAATAACATCTACAATTTTGTGACGATTGTATATTAATACAATTAATGACATTTTTGGACATTATCCATCCTCCTATTTTTAAATAAACAACAGGACACTGGATAATGTCCATAAAGTCAACAATTGTAAAGAAGAGATAAGCAGAACATGTAGCATGCATATGTAGAGGGAAAGAAATATATTTTAAATTTTCGTTTTAAACCATAAAGAAAGAAACTCCTTGACAATTCTGTCTACATGGAAGCAACCTACCTACCGATAAATAATGTTTGAAGAGAGAACTGGACTTGACTATTTCAGGATAGGGACCAATAGCGAGCTTTTGTTAAAATGGCCATAAACCTATGGTTTCCATATAACAAGACTACTTCTTGACAGAAGCATAAAAATAAGATGTTTGATAAAAAATATTTCTGAGTTTGGTTTAATTCCGACAGATTCCCTAAATAGCGATAACCGATTCGTTTTCGTTATGGCGAATAAGCCTGTTTCATGCGAAGCAGAACCAGAATTTCAAGTATCAGCGAGTTAAGGTGAATTCTCAAAGACAACACTTTGATTTTATTTCACTACACTTATCATCCGTATCATCATCATCGTGTCAAATTGGTTTTTGGGAAGAGAAGAAACGGGCTTGTAAGGGGGGAAATTTCCGAGACAAAAATTATCTTGGAAAGGGTTTTCCTACTATGTTTATTTATGTAATGCTTATTTAGGGACGATTTCAGTATCCCAGGCTACACGGCGTCAGTATGAAGGCTCTGAAGTTCTCACAGCTGTCGCTGCGAAGAGTATCTTGTGGGACATAACGCCGTGTAGTCCGTTGGAAGTCAACCGGCTGCACTGTGTTGTATCCTAGGAGACAGAACTATTTATACAGCGTCGAATTTTAGTGTGGTTGGTGAAAAATGACGTGAAAAATTCTGCAAAATAAGCGGTAGAAATCTAATTCCAGGCACTATCCCTGCTTCTGGCCGCGCCATAGCTCAAGAGGTTAGTCGCTGGCTTCCCACCGCGGCGGCCCGGGTTCGATCCTGGGTCTGGTCAAGTGGGATTTGTGGTGGACAAAGTGGCGCTGGAGCAGGTTTTCTCCGAGTACTTCGGTTTCCCCTGCCAAACTTCACTTTACCAATTACTCCACAATCAACCTCACCTATCATCTGGGGCTGGTACAATAGGACAGAAGTGGCCGCAGTAAAAGGGACTTAGTCCCACCCCACTAGCAATAAAAATATTCCTGCTTTAAATTGTAAGGGCTGAGGAAATCCATGAAAATCTTGCTACTAGACCTTGGTTTCCGGACTGAAATTTCAACACGGGAAATGTCAAGCACAAAGCCGGTGTACTGCCTATTACATGGCGACGTTATGTAGGCTCAGCTAATAACTGAATGATACCTGAATTATTTAACAATGCTCTTCCAGCTACACATGATATTAAGTGTAGAATGATATGACAATTATATGTATAATTAATAACTGAAGTTACGAAAAAAGCAAGCATTGCCCGCTGTCTGATACTACTTCAGCATTTATTAGGAGTGACTGAAGAAACCCCTTCCATAATTCAGGCCTAAACAGAACCGCCGAACGTCTAGATGGAGTGGTTGCTCCTGAACTTCGTATTAGGAAGATTCTGGGCTAAAATTCAGTTGTGTTTCAGCCCCAAGAAAAATGTGATGCAGTATCTCTGATTAAGTCACAACTGCTTTTCCCACATTCTCCCCAAATTAGTTGCTCACTAAATATCGCACACAGTCTCAGTTACTGACACTGCCTTTAAATAAAAAAGGTAAAGCTATCCCCGTAACAGGCCGTGAAGGCCCATAGGGTTGTGAGAGGTCGAGGACCCCACATTTTCTATCGGCTCACAGATAGCGGTGAGGTTGTCAGCCTTATGCGCCGGCCGCCCTTTATCCCCAGGAAGATTCCTGGTACTAATTTCTGTTAGAGGCTGCGTCGACCTCAGAGCCATAGTGCGGCTGGAAGTATTAGATCAATTGAAAAACCCAAGACCTCATCAGAAATCGAACCCGTGACCTTCCAGGTTGTAGCATAGTGCCTCAAGCAACTACGCTACAGGCATATAAATAAATAAATCTAAAGCCGAAATCGAAGCAGAACTGCTATCTATGTGAGAGTTCTGCTCAGTCGAGCTAGCGATTTTTCATTTTGAAAGGAAGGGGCTCGTGAAATCACTACCTTACGCGAACAGCATGCAGATAGAGCCATTAGAATAAGGGCTAGTATGCCGCTACAAGTTCCTTCTCAGAGTATCATGGGTTCGTTTCTGTGATCTTCCCCCGACATACTTAATACTTGATTCAACGGTCATCAAGGAACCTTGGACTCTTCATTCCTACCTGCTGCATTTTGCATCCATCTTATCACATTCGTCAGTCGTAGATCATTCTCTTCATCTTCCAGTCATTTCAATCAGATTTTTCCCACTTTTTCCTTGCCTTCTACCTTACTTTCTTAGTTCCACAGCCATCTGCTTTGACCCATTCCAGTTACATGCTCCAGTCGCCCAAAATTTCTCCTTTAATAAGTCTGTCCCCCAGTGTTTATATACGTATAAAAGAGTAAAAAGTAAATAAAGTTATCCCTGTAACAGGCGGTGAAGGTCCTTGGGGTTGTGAGATGTTGAGGTTCCCACATTTTCTAGACAATCGGCTCATAGATGGCGGCAAGGCTGTCAGCCTTACGCGCCGGCCGCCCTTTACCCCCAAGAATATTCCTGGTACTCACTTCTGTTAGAGGCTGAGTGGACCCCAGGGCCATAGTGCTGCTGAAAGGATTAGGTTAATTGAAAAAATCCAATGATCTCATCGGGACTTGAACCTGGGACCTTCCGGCTTGTAGCATAGTATAATTAATTAAGCAATTCAGTGGTACGCCATGAAGACGTGTGGGGGAGTGGAGGTATAATTCTAGCTTTCTTGACTTCGGCACTAGATGCTAGTGAGCGGGCAGCTTCACGTCCCAACATCTTTACTCCAAGGAAAAAACACCCGGATAGGAGGCTGGGTGGGCCCCAGAGTCGGTCATCATTATTTATATATAAACACAGGTACTGATTTTTGAATGTTTCTTTGCAGGTAGCATTTGCTCTGCTGGCCATTCTCGTTGCCATGGCAACCGGAGCGGCATTCCCTGGCCCCCGCCCCTTTCCCGCGAATGGTGTCCATAAGGAAAGCCTAGCTGGTTCCGAAACTGTGTACTACCCCTACGCCTACTACCCAGCTTACTATCCCATCGCATACCTGGGATGAAGGCACTAAATCACTGTCAAGAAGTAACATTATGAAGACTTTCTGCTAGATTATGGACAACATTCGTCTTTGTTCTCGTCTGGAACAGCCCAGCATCAACTTGATCTTCTGTGGCTGGCATAAGCCAAACAAAATACTGTGTTCAGTACATAATAATGCAAACTTTTTATGCATTTATTGACAAGTTTTATTATTTCAAAATGTACGCAACTTGAAACATTTATTTTGCAATAAAAATAACATAACACTAACTAACTTAGCTACTCAAGAATTTAGAAACACTTTATGGAAACAGAAGGTTTATTACTGTGATTATAAGAGCCCTTCATTGGACCCCGTCCTGATCCAGATAACGCCGTGTAGACCGACGTTTAGGAGGAACACGTCGCCTCCATTTTTAGGTTCAAAGAATAAGTCAAGTCCAAGAATCCCGGGTGAAGGAGGTGGCAAAGCAGGCTTTCAACGGAATACAAGGAGTTACATGCCAGAAGATTTAACTTTTCATAAACACCACCGCAAAAACCTCAAATCCCACATGCCCTACGTATGTGTCTACGCTCGTGTTACAAAACCACATATGATAATACCCGATGTGATCGTGTGTGGGCAGGACATCTTGTGGCCGGCAGATCCGTCACGCCTCTACAGGACAGCAACAAGACAGGGGAGTATAGCAGTCACGGTCACGGATCACGTTCGGATGCAGGTGGAGCTCGGGTTAGGGCCGAGGCCGGAACCACAATCCCGCCTTACTTCATGGGTTTTCAGCTTGTGGGTGGCGAACCTCAGGCAGTCGCTGCTTACTCTATGAGGGGTTGCCGAGTTCTCAAAGTTTATTAAAAGATATCTATATCACAGCATAGTTTTGGCAAGCCACTAAGTCTGTAAGATATAATGTAGGTGCCCAGGGAAATTTTGCTGCAGTGATCGAAATATTTCGCGAAATTTTTCGTGATTATATAGGAATATTTCATAGCGTACTCTAGTTTACAGAGGACTAAAACTATTTAAGTTCCTGCTGCCACCGTACTCATGGAGCTGAGCCCTTCTTGAGAAGCTGTCAATTGTGCAGCTACTCAGAACGTCCCAGGATTTTACGGAACCCGAAACTGACTCATCCAACCAAAAATTTGTAGACGTCAGTAAAATAAGTGTAAAGTTGCCCCTGCACTATGCCATGAAGGCATATGGGGGAGTGGATGCATAAATCCACGTATTCTTGACTTCGACACTAATTGGAGGTGAGTGGTCAGTTTCATGCCCCTGACTCTTTACCCCAGGGGAAAGAGCCCTCGTTACCTATTGGATGGGTTGCCTTGTGGACCCCAGAACCAGTCTGGACCATGTGGAGAGAGGAAAATTTGTGTCCTTACTGGGACTCGAACTCTGATCACTCGGCTGCCCAGCCCGTAGCCAGTCGCTATACCGACGGTGCTATTCCGGCTCCCAGGATAAAACCGTAGGGCCTAACCTAAATTACTGCTTTAAGGGATACAGAAGGGAACGAGATACAGGCATGAAAGGGGTACTCTGAACAAAGAAAGAAAGAAAATGAAGGGTACAGATTCAAATGAATTGCTTCCTCTTTGAATTGCAAGTGGCTTTACTACTACTGTGTTAGAAACTTTTAATGAAATTACAAGGAGAATTTTATAATTCCAAATAATTTTCCTAATGGTTTACATTCGCAGCAACAACGAATGGGGGCACTTTAATTGAAGGTTCACGCGTTTAACTAAACTAATATGATATATAATTATAATAATATATATTGCAATATCGTATCTTATTAATTTTGCAAAATTTGTATTCGCGGGGATAATAAATTTCATATGCAAGAGTCCATGCAATTTTATGTACAATTTGTACCAGCTTCTCTTTATCCGGCGTAAAACGGCCAGGAGTGAAGCTGACTACTCAACTTCATCTAGTGCCGAGGTTATGAATGCATGGAGGTGTATCTCCACTACCCTATAGGTTCTGACGGACTTAAGCTTAATTAAGCACAGGGATTCGTTTTCATGATGTGGCAGTTAATTAAGCAGAGATAACTTTACTTTTATCACTATTATGACACACCACTTGCTTACTTATTTACAATGAAAATATAAACAGTTGAAAATTAGTCCATTTCTACGCACTTTTATTAATAAAACGGATCTTAACAAAAAAAAATAATGAGGGTCTGGAGTGAACTCATCTGTTTTAGCATATGGTCCAGTTGTGGACTCGAGTGAATCCTTGTGCACAATAAACCGTACTACCTTTTGGCGTATGACGCCGCATAGCCTGGTGAATGTTACTGACTTTGAGGAGGAACATACTGCTTGGCTTATTCTTCGTCCCTGAAAGCGGAAGCAGTATATTCCTTCGAAACGTAGATAAACTTCCACCAGACTACACGGCCCAGAAAACTGTACTTTTCATGGACTTCACAGTAAGAACCTGAAATCTCACTGTATTGGATTTGAGGTTCTGACAAAGGTGACTATGAAGAGTTCTATCTGCTGGGATACAACTCCGTGTATTCCAATAAAAATCAGCCAACATTCGGAGAATGAATCGCTTCTATTTATGGGATAGAAGAGTAAGGCAAGTGAGATACGTTCCTCCAAAACGTCGGTAGACTTCCACCGGACTAAACGGTGTTATACCCTAGTAGACAGAACTCCTCAATTATCACTATTTCCATAACTCTCTCATGTGAAATGTAACATATACTTTGTCATAATCTGATTAAGCCTATCCAACGACTAATCTTTCTGAACCATGAAAAGCTCTTCATCGAATGAGAGTGCTTCTGAGACACCTTAACTTCGTGTTCCCGGATATGGATGAGCTGTTATTCTCCAGTGCCAAATACCAACAACAGGCAACACGTGCCACTAGGTAACATCATAAAACTTGTTGCCGCACACTGCCACCATTTTGTAACCAGAATCCATTATAATCATGCAAATTGCGTTGGAACAAGTTCTCTGTCCATATTATGCACAATAAATCTGTGCCCCATTGGAGCCTCCAGAAATTTTATCACTTCAAGACCTCCTGTGATTCATACTCTGCGATTTTTCCGTCTTTTGCTCAGAATCCAAAAGTGACCTAAGTGGGTAATAACAAATTCCAACGTAGATGGGAAGGAATAAAACAAAACAAACGTCTTGACTTTAGTCCGCAAGCGAACTATACCTACCGAGCGACCGCCGCTTTTCGGCGAAGTTAGTGCCAGCTTTAACAGATAGAGGGTGTCGCGTGGTCAGCGCAACGAATCCCCACAGTCATTAATTTCGGTTTCTAGACCGGAGCCGCTACTTCTCCATTCAAGTTGCTCCACAATTATCTTCACGAGGCTCAGTGGACCACGTTCCAGACCCACTACTTCTCAGAAAATATGGTAGCGCCGGGAACCGAACCCGGTACCTCTGGATCTGTAGCCAGGAACTATGACCACAGAGGGGGTCTGATAGGAGGAAATACTGAATTTATTATCGTAGGATAATAAATTACAGTTAATCGACCTTTATAATTGTCTTATAATAACCGTCAAATACGATTTATAATCTTGATGCTCTAAAATCTTGATTTATACACCCCTGCACGTTTCCTCCGATCTTACAAGTATATTCACATATTGAAACCTGGGATCCAGTATCTCCTGATTATATTTTCAAAAGTTTCTACAAACACTACAGCCTTAATCAGAACCACGTGTTATGAAAACAGCCGATGTGGGCTGTTCACTTTTCAATTTTATCAAATTGTCTCTCTTGTTCTTCTGTCCTGTCTATCCTTCGTAGAGCTTCATCCAGTCTTCCTGCTGCCTATTATCTCTCATCATCATTGCAATTATTTAGCACTCTTCAGTTGTTACTGTATTTCTCGTATTTGTCTTTTCATTCAAGCAGGAACACGGATGCACGAGATGTGACTCCGTGTCTTCTGGAAGATTGGTATTGACGTTTCGGAAGAACCTACTAGGTCCATCTTTAGGGTCGACCATACCATGAAGATAATAAGCTGCCACCTACTTACCTCATTACACACGTCCTAGATACAGTATTTTAAAAAGTCGCGACCACTAGAACCTCAGATCTTACGTAGCAGCGAAATGCTCCGAATGATGGATATGTAGGAAACCCGTATAATCTGTTTCTATGTGATTACATAGATAACTAGGGGTTACGCTGGTGGAACTGCGTATATAATATCACATAAAATGCTATTCATTTATAATAATCAACAATAATGACAACTATCTTCGTAGTGGTATCTAGTAATTAAATTAAGACGGACGGGCTGCAGCAGGATCGTCATGCAAATATCTCGTGATATTTAGTTCGAAATCTTCAAAGGCAGAGACCAGTTGGGTGACCTAAACCTAGGCGTGGGTCTGTTGTGAACACGACTAAATTTTCTCAATGGAGGGTTGCTTTACGATTTCCGATATCATTCTAATGAACATTCGAGTTCCATAGAAACAGTTCTGTGGGGAAATGAGCAATTTCTGAATATTAAAGCAGGTGGAATATAATTTAAAAAGGCAAACCTATCCCTATAACACGCCATGGAGATCCATATGATTGTGAGACGTCGAGGCTCCCACATTTTCTAAATAATCGGCTCACAGATATCGGTGAGGTTGCCAGTCTTAAGGGCTGGCCGCCCTTTACTCCCCAGGAAGATTCCTGGTACTCATTTCTATTAGAAACTGAGTCGATCCCAGGGCAACAGTGCGGCTGGAAAGATTAGGTCAATTTAAAAATCCAATGACCACATCGGGAATCGAACCCGCCACCTTCAGGCTTGTATCTCAGTGCCTCAACCCACTACGCTACCGCGTGTCCTCCAGAATATAATTATCACTGAGTTTTAAAGCATATTTTTCTAATATTTCCCAACTTCGCAAGAAATATTAATGCAGTATTATTATTTGTGTGGTTGTAACTGAAAATGAAAAAGTATTTAAACATCTACACTTGCGATGGTCAGGAAGTACACTATTGGCATCTCTTTACAGTCTTCAAATTTGCAATTGGCGCTGCACAAAGCGGCACAATCTTAAATTAAATTGCGTTTTCAAAAGAACATTCGGTTTTCTAGATATGGGATGCCATGTATTCCTACAGAACACTGCGACCTTTCTCCTTAGGCATTACGTCACTTCAAACGTGATGTAATAAATACAAAACGAGAAAATGATACCTAGACGCAATGAATACACGGAACGACTTCCATCACGAGATGGTCGTTTGAGAGACCACACCCAGGATTCCAGCTGCTTCAATTTAAATCAAATTAAGAAAATATAATTATTTAGAGGAGATTCTGATGCCCGCCCATACGAACACAACCCCCTTAAATGCCTCAACTGAGAGAGATTGAGCCCCACCTACTAAAACCGACAATAGAAGCATCTTATTCACACCTTTCTTCACCTGGTTTGCCAAGCCATCTTACAAAGGATACCACACACAAATTTAGAAAAGGAAAAACACACATACTTGCTTTTCAAGGTCAAGGGCAATCTGAGAATTGATTTATTTTTTGTTGTTATATCGACACCACCTTCGTTCTACTTAACCCACTATAGTATAAATATGGGACAGTGGTGAGTCTGGGCACAGTACAAGCAATCCTGCAGAATACTCAGAGGCTTGAAGCTCAACCAAACAAATCTTCAATCAACATGAACAAGCTGCTCGTAAGTAAAAGGGGTGACATTGGCCTCTATACCACCATTTTATTGTAAATCATTTAATTATTTTATCCTGAAAAGAACCGCTTGCGACACCTAATTATAAACGGGAGCTTAACACTGAAATTCCTCTTGAATAAATAGAGTGTGATATTGTAGACTATTGCTGTAGTTCAGGACAGGGTTCAGTGGGTGGTTTTACAGAAAGAGCGGAAAGTTTCTTACTATGCGAACGGGTGTCAGCTTCTCAATACGGATTCTACCCCATGAGTATGAGGGGCGAGCCATAAAAATGGCCCTAGCACTACGATATTCAATGGTCTATTATTTTTTATTATTGCTAGTGGGGTGGGACTAAGTCCCTTGTACTGCGGCCACTTCTGGCCTATTGTACCAGCCCCAGATGACAGGTGAGGGTGACTGTGGAGCAATTGGTGGAATGAAGATTGGCAGGGGAAACCCAGCGCCACTTCGTCCACCACAAATCCAACTTGACCAGACCAGGGATCGAACCCGGGCCGCCGCAGTGGGAAGCTAGCGACTAACCGCTTGAACTATGGCGCGGCCTACGCTACATCCTTACTCGAACACTTATGAATTACGTGTTTAATCGAAACAGAAAATTTCATGGTTGACAAGTCTACTGTTAGGAAGCTCATGGAAACCATAAAAAATTATGACCCAACGATGTATTGCGGAAAGGACCACATGGCATTAATGCATTAATCGATTTCTTAAAATAGAAGATAATATATAAAAATTGTTTAATAAAATGGTGAAACTTGACAAAGAACTACGGAGTTACATAAAGAGGCAGAGTAGTCTTAATCCGCATGACAATAAAGACATATGAGAAAGTCTTAGCTATTACAGGATTGGGATATAAGTAAATGCGTTTTCAGAGTTACTAAATTCTCTTAATTCATATGAAGAATCCGAGGCTTTGAATATCACCTCATTATTTCGCAATACGTACTCTTCTTCGTGTAGCAATGACGAGACAACAAATTCGTATAAGGTTTAGAGGAAAACTTCAAGTAGAGAGACCACTTAGAAAACCTAGGCATGGATGGTGATAGTAGTAAAATTAATCTAATAAAACATATTGGAAAGACGTGCAATTGACTGCTATTGTTCAGAATCGGGTCCAGTGACAAGTTCTTGTTATTTTTGATAATGTAACGGGAAGAAACATTTATCAGGTGAATAATTAAAGTCTTTGACAGCACATAACCAAGGATGATGAGGTGGGTAGGGCATGTAGCACGAATGGGGGAGAAAAGGAATGCATATAGGATATTTGTTGGAAAGCCAGAAAGAAAGAGACCACTGGGAAGACCAAGGCGTAGTTGGGTGGACAATATTAAAATGGATCTTAGAGAGATAGGATGGGACGGTATGGATTGGATTGATCTGGCTCTTGATAGGGACCAGTCCAGGGCTGTGAACACGGTAATGAACCTTCGAGTTCCATAAAATACCGCGAAATTCGTAAGTAGCTGCATTTTTGGCTTCTCCTCAAGAAGGGCTCAGCTCTATGAGTAAGTAAAATCTAATAAAACATATTGGAAAGATATGAAATTGACTGCTATGGCTCAGAGTCGGGTCCAGCGACAAGTTCTTGTTATCAGAGTGACGAAATTTTGGAAAACGTATCGAGAAGAAACTTTTTTATCAGGTGAATATTTAAAGCGTCTGACAGTACATAAACTCGCTGTTTCTTACAGGTGTTCTTCTTCGTCGCCGCTATCGCGCTGGTCGCCACGGTGTCTGCCGGTCCCATGCCAGCACCTTTCCCTCTGCCCGCTAAGGACCTCAAGGGCTCAGAGGCTGTGTATTACTCGGCATATTCTGCCTACCCTTACGCCGCTGTCCCATACGGCTATGCGTATTACGGATAAATCAACCGAAACAAAAGACAGACACTGGCATTGGACAACGGACCACCCCAACGGACTACGCGAAATGGATATGACACGTCTGCGCTTAACTCTCTTCTTCTAATTACATGTAAATGATACTTCCCTTATTGTATTATGTGCCATTTCATCTTACATCCCGCCAAAAAAAAATCTTATTGAAGCCATACACGATTCCAAAGTGGTGAAAGTAAAGATGGTTGAAGTTGCGTCTACATTTCCCAAATTCAACACTGCAACATGGAAATATATTGAAAGATAATTTTCTGTGGTCAGTGAGAAGTTACAAAACTAAATAAAATATAGATATATCTAGTTATGTGTATTTCATTCTATACCCTTACGAAAGTATCTACGGGAAATGTGAAGTTTTCGTGGCTATGAAGATTAATGCATTCTGGAATATGAAAACATGTAATCTGTTAGAATGTTCCCAACTTTTCTAGAAATGTGCTGCCTCACCTTCAGAGTATAAGAGGTAGAGACAGCACGTTCCTCCGAAAGGTTCGTAACCATCTACCAGAACACAGGGTGTCACATTCCAGAAGACAACAACCTGCAAAAATAACTATGTTTCCGCAACACCGACTTCAACCTCACACCAAACATGGCGTTTCGCCTTCACAATAATCTATTCCACTGAATACATCGCCGATTTTTTAACTGTAAAGTTGCAAATCTGGAACATAGCTGGACCACAGATTCGCAACTTGAACAATGAAACGAAGATACACGACATCTAGACCGACTTCCACATATACGGCCCGCCAAGTTTGTAAGTCCTCATGACAGTATGTGTCCTCACATAATATCAAGTCTGCTTTACGTCGGATCCCAAATGTTACACCGAATATGTGGAGTCTTGTTGCAGTTACGATTTATTTAACGTCACTGGCAGTAGCTCAGAATATATAGCGTCGAGTGATAGACAATCAGTGAATAATAAACTATCAAAGCTAAGAGAGAACGCTGGCTTAGCCTATTTTAAAATTCTACGCCATTATTAGTCTGCAATGACCGGTTACTGGAATCCATGAAACGCAATACTCTAATATTAAAAGAATGGTTTGGGGGGACAAGCGGTAGCGTAGTTGGTTGGGGCACTAAGCCACAAGCCTGAAGATCGGAGGTTCGATTCCTGAAGAGGTCAATGGATTTTTCAATTGACCTAATCTTTCCAGCCGCACTATGCCCCTGGGGTTGTCTGTCTCTAACAGAGATGAGTGCCGGAAATCTTCCTGGGTGGGGGTAATGGGCGCCCGGCGCGTAAGGCTGACAACCTCACCACCATCTGTGAGCCGATTGTCTAGATGAATGTGGGAGCCTCGACGTCTCGGAACACTATGGGCCTCCAGTGCCTGTTACAGGGATAGCTTCACCTTTTAAAACAATGGATTAATAATATATTCTATCATTTAAGCTAGAGACAGTAACGATCACACAAAATTTGGTGGTATTCAGAACTCCACGAAACCTTCCCAGTCACAAGAAGTCTCTCTGCCTACTTTCGGCAACTATTCAAGGGGGAAGGAATTGTGACGCATGTATTATATCGCCTCTAAATTTAAACGGCAATTCCAATAGTACTGAGGGCCCACATAGGGAATGACTTGTTTAAACGTGTTGAATTTAAGGAATGTTGACATGCAAGTTAACCTGTTGTCATAGAGATGAAGTTCTCCTTCTTGTTACAGTCAGCTGCTTGGAACAATTCCAACTAGCCACTTATGAAAATCAAATTTGAATATTCCTACACAAGGATAACCAGCTTGTCTTATTGTTCCAGCATTACTGTCGGATGCAAGGAACCCGCTACTGAGAACGCAGGGCGGGTCTTTCCTTGTCTATCAATACAGTAGTTGTAGATAGATAAGAATATTTCGGCTCTCAGTAACAAGAGTTCTACTGTCTGATTAAGGTTATCGCCAAAATAGGCATAATTCTTAGCGTTATACAGCATGCCCCAAAAGCTCTTCTTTGTGGAACTGGCTGAAAAAGAATTATGTCACACCTGACTAAGATTATTTTATTTCTTTATGCAAGATTTGAGTTTCTCACAACAATTAATATTATTTTACGGTCTTCTGGATGTCACTCCATATAGTTTGGTTGAGAGGTACCAACGTTTCGAAGGAACCTGCTGCTTACATTTTCGGGGTATAAAAACTGAGGGGGCAGGTTACTGAGAAGTGTCAGTACCTATCTACCAAGTCAGACTGTGTCACATCCCAGAACACCGCAATCTAAATGTATAGTGGGGCGTCTGATTGATTTGCTTTCTTATTTACATATTTATACATGATTTATTTAATATTAATATCAGTAACTCATACTGTATAGCAATAGTGTCCAACGCGGCGGCCGCGGGCGCCATGGCGCCCGTGGTATATTTTTCTGTCGCTCTCCGTAACCACATATAATTGAGCCGATTTTTAATATTAATTCAAATTGTAAGACAAGAGACATTTTTGAACGTCTGAGTACTGTTAAATATTTTCGAAAAATTTTATTATTATTATTATTGTTTATTATTATTATTATTATTATTAGTAGTAGTAGTAGTAGAAGTACTAGTAGTAGTAGTGTGTGGTGGCGCCCGCACCTCCATAGGCATCAGTGAATTGTGCCCCAGTACATAAGAACGTTGGACAGCACTGCGTGTATAGTGTCGAATCATAGGATAATTTAATAAGTTGTAAAGTACGTGGAAGGCAACGGTAGGGCCTAATTTAAGCTACTATTCAGGTATGTCTGGAAGGACTGAATTAAATAACGGACCAAGATTAAACTCGCAGCCTCCAGACTTGGAAGCAGGAATAGATCCATCGGTCCGAAACTTTCGGCGAAGGTTAGATTCTTAACTCTTGTGCATATATGGCATGTTCCTAAAGTCCCTTGTTATTATGATCAAGTGGAGCTGAGAAGTTACGGATGAATAAACGCTTAAAACATAAGACAACAACACAGTTTATTTCTGAACTCAAATCACTGAATCGTTCAAATCACATCTCCTACACCAATAAATAATAAGTTATATATTAAAAATAGCGTTCCTCTAAAGCGCCAGTAAATTTATATTACACTGCACGGCTTAACATTCTATCATTCTTCAATGATATTCGTAATTTTGTTTGGAAAATTCTTTCAACGTTAGAACTATAAAAATAGCAGTCAATTTCCACTTTACATAAAACGTTAATCGGTCTCTGTAGCATAAAATTCTGGTTCTATTCATCATTTTTATAATCACTCTTCACAAATGTCATCAGATTTGTCTAGACGTGCACGACTAAAAAAACAGCATACTACTGAAATTGGGTTATTCAACTACATTGTTTAATTTCCATATAGTACACAACGTAGAATGAGTTGGAAAATGATCATCAATTGCGAATCGGTAAAAGATTTGGTAGGAGCTGGAGGGACGACGATAACAATTCAAAACCTGATTCAGGAGGAAAATAAGTGGAGACTGAACTCGGGTAATGCTTACTACCATTCTGTCCAGACCCTTTTGTCTTCTCGTCTGCTGTCTAGAAACGTAAAAATTAGAATATACAAAACTATAATTTTGCCTGTGGTTCTGTATGGGTGTCAAACTTGGTTTCTGATATTAAGAGAGGAACACAGACTGAGGGTGTTTGAGAACAGGGTTCTGAGGAGAATATTTGGACTGAAGAGAGATGAAGTCACAGGAGTTTGGAAAAAAACTAAATAATGAGGAGCTTCATAACTTGTATTCTTCTCCAAGTATAATTAGAATGATCAAGTCAAGGAGGGTGAGATGGGCAGGGCACGTAGCACGAATGGGGGAGAAGCTGAATGCATATAGGATATTGGTGGAAAAGCCAGAAGGAGAGAGACCACTGGGAAGACCAAGGCGTAGGTGGGTGGACAATATTAAAATAGATCTTAGAGAGGATGGGACGGGATGGATTCGATTGATCTGGCTCAGGAGAGGGACCAGTGGAGAGCTCTTGTGAGCACGGCAATGAACCTTCGGGTTCCATAAAATGCGGGGAAATTCTTGAGTAGCTGCAGATTTTGCTTCTTCTCAAGAAGGGCTCAGCTCCATAAATAAGTAAGGAGTGAGAGGGTACATATTTTAACGCACTATCCTAATATTCTCCTACAGAGACTAGGGAAAATGAGAGAGAATGCCTGATAATCAAATGAGATTTGAACCGGATACATCCAGAATATAAGTCTAAATCATTACGGCAATACAGATCGGTGGGTAGATGCCATGTGGCACTAAGGTAGTGTTTATTTGCTGGACATATAAGTACAAAAGACATAAAACTGCCCCAAGACCTATGGATAGTTAAGAATCTGACAGTTGCAGTATTTCCTTTGTTTTTATCCACATCCTGTTGTCACAGAGGTGACTCGCACCACGACGGAGCTGCGTAGTTGACCTACTGTGTCTACTTCTTTCCTGGCCAGGAGGCCAAATCGTTGCAGCACGTGAAACGCCTGAATGCATTGACATTGGGTACCAACGCAAACACGTGGAAGCTGCGAATAACAACGACACATCTCCATCGCTCCTCTAAGGTGGCTTCTCCTTCATTTGCGAAAGGAGACAATATAAGGGCAACAACTTACTTAAAGTTAATACTATTTAGAGACACTTTATCAAAAGCTTGGGTCTAAATCGAATAATATGATGATTTTAAATTATTATTTGGGAAAAAACTACTGTTTCTTGGATCGTTTTATGATGCATTATGAATTGCACAGATGCACAGAGTCGAAGGGACCAATAACAAGAATGTTCTGACGATTAATTTTTAAAATCAACGCCAATATTACTTCTTCCGTTGTTTAAAATAATTTATTAACTGCATGTGTTGCAGTCTAATGACGGGATTCATATGAGTATGAATGATGAAGTGGGGAGACTGTGGGAGGGAATAATTGTTCTTCGTTTTTGGAAGTACTATTTCAGCATGCGGGCCGTGCCATAGCTCAGGCAGTTAGTCGCCGGCTTCCCACCGCGGCGGCCAGGGTTCGAGCCCGGATCAGGTCATGTGGGATTTGTGGTGGGCAAAGTGACACTGGACGCCGGTCACAAGAGCCGAACGGTCTAAGGCAGCGTTTCTAAAATTTTTGAAGTGGGGACCACTTTTATAAGTCAGAACAGTTCTGCGGACCGCCCTACTCTTGTTTCCTTCGAAAATAAATTTATCATTTTTAAGCATATTTTATTACTAGTATACTTATATTTTTAAATATAATTAATTAATTAATTAATATCCATTTAATTCAATTAATTTTATATTAGTGTTAAGTAATTAAGTTAATAGAAGAAG